GAACACCTAAGCTTGATCTTAGGGTCTGGGGCTAGGCATGTATCTGGTCAACTTTGGTTGACACAGTATTTTATTTTCTTTTCTTCATTTAATTTTTAAACTGTGCCTAACTGTGCCTAACTGATCAAAGCTCTTTGGGAGGTTTACAGCAAGTGTATAAAACACAACACAACAATTGAAATATCATAAAATATAATAAAAACAGGGCCTTTTCAAGATTCTCTGAGTAATAACTAGCTTGTGCTGGATAACCAAATCTGTGTAGAAACCAAACCCTTTTCCCATGTACTGTTGTCTGTAAGTTCAGCACCAAGCTGAAAGGAAGTTTTAAGAAGTTAAGGGCAATTATAAAGCAGAGGCCAGGCAAGGAGAACTTAAATCCCAATCCAGTTTTCCATACGTTATACCAGCCTCCTCAATCTGGCGCCCTTTAGTTGGCCATGCTGACTGGGAATGATGGGAGTTGTGGTGCTGGGCTGGGGAGTGCTACAATGTACAACACTGTTTTTTGTTTGTTTTTTAAAAGGGCTTTTCTGGAGCATGACTTGCAATTGGGAAGTCTTTGGGCTTCTTTTGCAAAATGACAGAAAAGGGACCTATATTTAGTGTAAAGCACAGGAAATAAAAGATATGATATCACTTCTTTCTTTCTCTCTGCACTGGCCTGTCAAGGAAGTTTGCCTTGTGCTTAGATTTATGATACACTGTAAGACTGGGCAGCCTTATATAGTCACTATTTTCATGTGTACTTCTGTGTGGTGGATAAACTTGGCATCTTATCTCTGCTGTCTGCCAAGCATCAGTGACGGCATTTCAGACAAGTCGTCGCCTTTGCACATCTTTCTGGACATATTTTGGAGGACTGGCTTGCTTAGAGAGAGACAAATTCGGTGCCTCTCCCCCTCAAAACAATGAATTTGGGGCAGCACGTGTCCCTCTTTTAGGGTGTAGTCACATGTTATCTGCCAAATATGTAACATTGCAAAATACATTTCCTTGTCCTTTCAGAATTACGATCTGCAGCTTATGTCCTTCCATGAATCCCACTCCTTATCCCTTCCCTTTTGCCTGCTGCTTTCTCGCACTTCATGGCTGCTTTCTTGCAGCTCTCTGACACTTTGGTTACTTCTAGATGGAGAAACTCCTAGCACTAACAAATGGCATTGTGAATCTCCCTCTTTTCTTCCTTAATGGATATTTGTTTCCGGTGAGCAAAAAGGCATAAGGAGGTGTGGGAAAACGCGGGAGGCCCACAAATCTGGAGCACTCATACAATTCTGTGACCAAATCGGTGCAGTGGCATGACAGAAGCCTCATCTGGAAGCACTTTCTGTCTCCTGCAGTGTGCGATTTCCAGGCTCCGCTCCACACGTCCTTCACAGGCAGATGCAAGATTTCAGTCCCGAGTGACACTGATAACAATCCCTTTTCACAGAAGATCCACTGTTTAACATTTTGCTGCAGACAGCTTTGTTCCTTCAGCTGTTGAGATGTTTGTGCACATTCCTTCGTAGACTTTTGAGGCATCTTGCCAGGGCACTTCTGGCATAAGTGCAGCAGGCAAAGCAAAGTTGTAGCTTGCGGTACCGCTGGCATCCACTTGAGGAGTGCAGCTTTGGACCCATTGCCCCCCCCCCATCCTGCTAGAAGCCCAGCTTCATAGACATTACTGGTTGGATTTGGAAGGGCCAAAATCAGCCTAAATGACATTAGGACTCGTGTGAATGCTTTAAAGACATGCATTTCCACACACGCCTTTCCTGCATCTAAAAGTGTGTGCATGTTCACAAAGAAGATTGAAATATGAACAGGCAGAGAAATGTTGTAATCATGATGCGTACTAAACCTCCCATAATTTCTACCATGGGAATTACCAGCGAGCAGAGTAAAGTAATGCACATGAAAATTAAAGCGCTGATATTTTGAAGCTTTCCTCATAGGAACTTAGTGTCTGATTCCAGTTTTTTTTTCATCTGCATGTGAAAAATTACTTTTATCAGCAGGGAAATGTGGTTGAAGCATTGAAGGCAAGGGATGAGCAATATCACAGAGTTAACTCATGCCAGCACCCAGTTGCTGGGAATTGTAGACTGAAATTGGTTAGAAGAAAATAAAGGATGGCGCTGCGGTGGGGGCTAAACTCTTCCCTGCCACTGGTGAGCCCAGCCGTTGGTAAGCAGGCTTGAGCACGTGTGATAACTTGACCTTTCCGTGCAGATGCTCCTGGAACCCAAGGAGGCCCATGCAAAACCAGTGCCTGTAGCACAGACAGGACCCCTCTTCCAACCCCAGTGTACCTGGGTGCATCCACCCCACATCTGAGGTCTTCCTCCGGTGCCGCCTCCAAAGCAGGCTCGGTGGGTGGCCTCAGGGAGCTTCCCAGATTAGAACAACCTCCCCCCTGAGGCCCACCCGCTGCCAACGCCACTCTCTTGGTGGCTCCAGATTAAGAACTTTCTCTCTGCTGAGGCACTTGCCTGCTCCGAATAGCACATGGGGGGTGTTGCCAGTCACCAGGGGGTGGGGTTTTTCTTTGTTAGCAGGGCTGGTGGTAAGGACTGGTTTTAGTTGTTTACATTGGTTTGAAATGTTTTAGCATAACATAGAAACATAGCAAGTCAGAAGGGGCCTCCTGGGCCATCTGGTCTAACTCCAGCTCTGCTCATGTGATCCCCAACATGTGGCTGTGCAATCTTTCCTTGAAAACCGTCACTCATGGGGCCTCCACCACCTCCCTTGGAAGCCCATTCCATATCCTAGGGGTCCCAACCATCAGGAAGCACTTCCTGACATCCAACCTGACGCCTGGTTCCTTGAGTTTTGCCCCATTGCAACACACCCTGCCCTCCACTGCAGGGAAAAACAGGTCATGGCCCTCCTCCACACGACGTCCCCTCACATACCTGTAAGTCTCTAAAAGGTCTCCTCTTCTCCAGGCTGAAAAGACCCAGCTCCCTCAATCTCATCTCGTATGTCATCCTCCCCTTTCTGGCCACCATCCTTGTGATCCTGTGCTGAACTGATTCTAACCGTTATTATTATTATTTTTCTAGTTCTAGTTCATATGGCTTATATACAGATTACTGTATTTATTAAGAGTATGGCCCAGATAATTGTCTGAAGGCACATAACCCGTCTGCCATGTTGAAGCTAAGCAGGTCTGGGGCTGGCCTGGACTTGGAGGGGAGACCACCGGGACATGTGTATTCATTTCTTTAAAGCATTCCTATACTGTGCCTGTAGCCAGTTCAGCTCTCTTGTAGCCACCCTGAGTTCCATAGTGGGAGAAAGGTGGGATATCAGTAGTATAAATAAATAAATGGTTGTACATTGCTCACAAAGCTTCAGCTATTTGGCAGTATAGAAATTCAATCAGTCTGTCCATCTGACATCCTTTTCCTGAACTCTCCAAATTGCTAAATTCTCAGCCTTGGTCTGGGTAACATCTCACTTATCGGTGTGTCTCCTTCGCAGCATAACTGAAACCAAGCTACTATTCCTCCATGCTGCAAGGTGAAGCGCCTTGGATTACAGCTCCCATCACCCCTGTAATAATTACTGCATAACAAAATAGATAAATGGTTGGCTGATAAAGAGCTGTATCTTGTCTGATCTTGGTATGCCTGGGGCTGCTGGTTTTTGTGACTACAATCCCTTTTTCTCCGCTGCATCTCATCCAGCTTTCTTGGTCTTGTTCTTATCGGCTGGCTACACAGTAGGGAGCATGAAAAATACGTTGTCAAACAGGTGCTTGAAATTGTGTTAAGCTGGTCATCCCTGTGGAGGCTGTGACTACACAACGTGAATCGTGCCAGATCTCCTCCAGGCTCTGGTTGCTTGTCAGCTTTGTTTCCAAGCACCATTTCTTTTTTAAATTGATTTAGATCTCACTTTCCTTTTCTTTTAAAGTACACAGGGCAGCTTATGTCATTCTCTTTCTGCTCTCAGTCTTATCCCCACAACAACAACCCTGCGGGGCAGGCTGGGCTGAGAGTCTGTGACTGGCCCAAAGGCACCCAGTTGGCTCCATGGCTAAGCAGGGACTAGAACCCAGATCACCTGAGTCCAGTTCGGTGCTCTTAACCATGCTGGCTCCTAGCACCTTCTTAGTGCTGATAACAGAGATACTGGAGTGCAACTCAGAATCTAACAGAACTGGAGGTTCTTCTGTTAGAAAGCACTGTTAGAGAAGGACACTCTTATTCTGATGGCCTTCAATTCAGTCTTGATTACTTGAACTGAGTTGTTTTGTCGAGGCTCCTGGTTGTACTTCATTTGTTCTGTTGCTCTGCTCTTTTTTCGCAGGGTTGGGGGTGGGAAGGAGGAAAACAGTTGCTTCATATTTGTTTCTTTTAATTTTATGTGATTTTTCTATTTTTATTGCTGGGCATGGGTGCTGCCTCAAGCATCCGTTGGGTGGAATTATGGCATATACAATTTAATATCAACACATAAAGTGGTAATATAAAATATTCAAGCCTACCATTAAAATGAAGTAAATCAATAGTGTAAAATATTCAGTGCCCCATTTAAATGAAGTAAATCAATACAAGCTAGTGTGCCTTTTGCTACAGATGCAAAAGGATGTGAAAATGTAAAATGCATGTCATGAGCCTTGAGCCCATTGTTCTTCTGGTTGTTATTTTGAGACCAGTGGATTAAGAAATATGAACCAGTCCCCCTTTCTGTCCAGGTTTAAACAGCTGACTTTAGATATCTTGAGGTTTGGGCTTTAGAGAGAGAATTTGGGAAATATATTCATTCTGAATCATGGGAGTCATTAGGAAATGAATCAGAGAAATTCATCCCGGGCAAAACCACATTTTGAATCAAGCAAGGTCCAGGTTTGCTAATCCAAACAATGACGCTGTTCTCTGGACAAGGCTATTCTATGCCTACCTCTGCACAGGGGTAGTGCTGCTCTTGGAGCCACCTACTAGGGCAAATGTCAAACCTTGTATTTTTTTTTTCCAAAAAAATCTTCCTGCTTTCCCAAACAGATTCTGAAGCAGTCATGCACAGAGATTTTGTCACTGGAGCCCTCGAGCGTCTGTGTAGGAGGTGAGTTTTCTGGAACTGGAAAGCAGTGCACAAATATTGACTATCCTGCTGGTATTTCCTTGGGCAAAATGCATAACTCCGAGTTCCATATGCTGAGTAGGAAGATGTGAATTCAAGGTGCTTCCCTTCCTTCCCCGGCTTGCCAAAGTCTGTATTACACATTGAAAGCTGTCGTGGTTTTAAAGAACCCTAGGACTGGTAGGGTTGTGAGCAGGTTCTGTTTTGTTTATCATGTTGGCATCCTGCTTTTCTTCGGAGAAGCTCACAAGTTAGTCTCCCAACAGCCCTAGTGAGATAAGGTGAGACTCAACGAATTCCCATCAGCTGCCCAGTAAACTTTATGGCTGAGCTTGGTTTTGGGACTAAGTTGTGGCTTGCATGATGTTAAATATTGCTGCAGAACTAATGTTTTCTGGAAGGGAGTCTGAGGAACTGAAGGCATATGGTGTTAACAAGAGAGGAAGTTCTTATCTCACTGGCAAATTGAAAGTTAATAAGTCAGTAGGTCCCAGAGTTCTTGAAGAAATTTCTGAATCTCCAAACTTGTTGAAATTGCTGAATTCTGATCATAAACATCTCTAAGCTCAACCTCAGTATCAGAGGATGGGAACTGGCCCATATAACACCAAATTGTAAAAAAGGATTTGGGGAGATCCAGGGAATTACAGGCTGGTTATCTTAATTGGTTTTTTTTAACAAATTGGTTGAAAGCACTAATAAAAATAAAATTAATAAGACTATAGAAGAATAAGCCCTGCTGAAGAAGAATCAACATGGTTTTTGCAAAGTCCCATCTCACTAAACCTTTAGAACTCATTGAGTGTGCCAATAAATATGTTGGTAGGTGATCCATTAAACCTACCTGGACTTCCAGAAGTCTTTTGACAAAGTCTCTCATCAAGGATTTCTGAGCAAACATATTATTTGTGGAATTAGAGGCTACTTTTTCTTAAGGATCAGTGACTAGTTAAAGAACAGAAAGCAGGATGTAGGGATAAATGGGATTCTTTTTTTCCCCAATGAAGGGTTGCAAACAGTGGAATTCCACAGAATTCTGTATTGGGACCAGTGTTTTCAACCTGTTCATGAGTGATCTGGAATTAGGAGTGAGCAGTGAAGTGGTCAAGCTTTGTAATGACACCAAAATGGTTTTGCAAGGAATGCTGAAAGGATCTTGCCAGCCTGGGAGATGGGCATCAAAATGGCAAATGCAGATCAGTGTAAGCAAGAGTAAAGTGATGCATGATGGGTCAGAAATCCCAACTTCAAGTATTAGCTGATGCGATCTGAGCCTAGTAGTGAATGACCCAAAAGGAGACGGCAGCTCCATGGGAATGGCAGCCCAGCATGTGGTTGCCGTGAAAAAGTTAACCTCTGTGTTAGGCGAAATTAGGGAAGGCGTTAAAATAAAGAAGATAAATTGCCAATACCCTGTTCCCTTTATGGAAATCTATGGTGCGACCACACTAGGAATGCCATGCACGGTTGGGTCAGCACACCTAAAAAATTATATTGTAGAATTGGAAAAGGTGCAGAAAAGACCAATTAAAACGATTAAGTGGCTGGAGCGACCTCCCCTGAGGAAAGGTTGCAACATCTGGAATTGCTTCGCTTAGAGACTTGAGTCAGACTAGTGCTGGATACAAGACAGTACCTTATTTCCCTCTTGACACATTCCATTCTGTCTATGCTTCTACCAGCTAATGATGGGAATGCTGATAAAATGAGAAAATGGGTCTTGATTCTTAAAATCTGTCTACTGGTCAATGTCTGCAATGGTCATACCACAGGGTGTAATTTGGGGGTATAATGTGAAGCCTTGATCAATATTGTATTTCATACTAAACATGAAAATACCCCCTTTGCCTTGAGCAAGAACTGTCAGAAGTCATGGCCATCCTGGGATTTTACTTGCATTTTCTTTTATCCATGACATTGGTGAGTTTTTCAAAGATACTTGTTGGGGCTGGAGAAGGACAGCTGTCCCCAGTACCCAAATTCTATTTGTGGGTAGGTTTGCTGGGGTTGGCTGTTTTAGAATGACAGAAGTATGGGTGTTCGAGACAATGTACCCGGTTTGCGTTTCACTTGCAAGAGAGAAGCTCTTGTTTCTTTTTATTTCTTTTTAAAACTCGAAAAAAGCTCTGCCAAGGAACAGTGGGTGTGCTTGTAAGTTCCTCTTTCCCCTTTCATGTTTAAACCGAAAGTCAAAGGCTCATTTTCCTCAGGCCTCTTGAAACCAAAACAGACATTACTTTAAATGTGTGTCTAACAGTGAGGCATTGCTGTTTTTCATGTTTGCTCTAGGAGAGGTGCCTTCTGCCTGATCTGGACTGGGACCTTATTGTGTACAGGTGGTTAAGATCCCGGTCATCTACCTGTATTTACCTGAGGGTGGAAATGACCAGAACACTTACTTGCTAGACACCCATTTAAGTAATGATGATTTTAGTTCACAGCATTCACTCTGAGCATTCTGGGAGTAAAATGGCGGCAGGCAGAGCTCTTATTTGGAACCTAGGAGGTGGGAAAGCCTTCTACCCACTGTCGCCTTTTGCACAGCTCTCACTTTAAGTCAAAATTGAGAGAGATGCGGGGGGGGGGGGGGAGAGGAACAAGGTGAACTGGTATAAGTGTAACCCTACAACTCAAACTGGACCAGTTCAGCCTACCCTCCAAAGTGCCCTTCACACTTTGGGGTGAAGTAATTAGTTTGAGGGCAAACTTTGATATATAGTGAAAAACATCAGTTGGACCAGTTGGCCTCTATTACCCAATCCCAGCTGGTTTACTAGCGAGTTTCAGAACATTATGCTGCTTAGCACTGGTTTCCTAAAACCATGGGGATTAACATTCAACATGTGCCCAGTTCCTGACTTCTACTGCAAAGCAGAAATGCCTAGATCAGTGCGGGAATCAATGCCAAAGCACCCATCTGAATTTTGAGATAACGTACTGATGTAACCCCCACCAGTTGTTAGGCACTCTTTCTTCTGTCTTCTAATAACTTCTCATACTTGGTTTGCGACTCTACTTTCAGAGGAGTTTCAAGTTGTACTAACCGGAAGGGCATTCAAATTTGGAAGGAAACATGACAACATTGTCTGTACTTTTGAAACAAATGGAACCAGAACTAGTAAGTATCTGCAGAGCATCATAAATGTAACTGTGTAATTGAATTGTGCTGCTGGAAACTATTCTGACTTCTTCCCCACCAGTTTTCATAGCTATTATTTGCATACTACATTTTTCACAGTACAATTTCCTGAAAGCATTCTTTACAAAGCAACAAATATAATACCCATAATTTTAATACATTACGGTACAATATAAGCACAATTACAGTTCTTATCAGAATTTAAATGTTCATGTATATGGTATTCTCAGGAAAGAAACTTAGATTGTTTGGGACCTAATAAGGGAGAAATGCCCCAGGGAGGGGAAATTTGGAACTGAGAAACAGGAGGTGGGAAGGGTTTGATATCTTCTCCCCATTACCATTTCTCTGCTCCAAATAGCCTTCTTCCAGAGCTGACCTTTATTTATGCATTCATTTATATGTTGGAGCACAGCTATAGCTGTTTGATGGTCATGCTAGTTTCTTCCTACGCTCAGGATTTGATTGGACCTTTAGGCAGCTGCTGGTAGGAGCACTTGTGCTGTTAAATTGCAGGTTGATGGTTGCAATTATAAACAGCAGGGGACCTTCCAGCTGTTTTGGCCTATGAATGCCATCAGTCAATCCCTGGTTTAGCTAGGATTATAATCCTGGATTACTGTTCCTGGCAGTGGTTCCTCTTGCCATGATGTGGGTGGGTGGGCTGAGGGGTATCTCCTGCGAAACCACAATGAAGGAGCAAGGCAATGGCTCTCCTTTCTGCTTCCCACACAATCTACTGAAACATGATGGGCTTTCTTTTGGCAGATGGAGCCTTCCAAGCAATCTCATTTGTGTCTCTCCATCATTGTCAATTTTGCCCTTCCCCTTTCCTTCTCTTTCCCCATCCTTGGTTTGAAGATTGTGATCTCCTTGGCTCAGAAACCTTATTAATGTGTTTGTTGATTTATCACTTATGGTGACTCTGTATTAATATTTATAATCCACATATGTGGCACTCTAGAGAACAACGCAAGCAAGAACCGTGCTCCTGAGCTAAGGTGATTATAGTCATCTAAATGTCAATGTAGGAAGCGCATCACCAGATTTAGCTTGCATTTTTGGGGTACAAGTTACTCCGTGCTGCTTATTGAACATGGGATGGGATCATCTCACTGGAGTGTCTTACACAGGGATGGAGAACTTGCTACCCAAGGCCTCATTTAATGTGCTGTTTGTATCATCTGCCGCTTTGGACATGGCGGGCCCACTTGTGCTGCCTGGTCAGCTCCTCTGAGAAGCACTTTTTTTTCCCAAAGTCCAGGTTGGCTAGGAATGGTGCGTCTTCTCATGCACATGGATGGAGGCCATCAGGTTGAGAAAGTGGGGTGGGAATTTCTTTCAGTCCAAGAACTGGATTGCATTCTGGAGCATTTAGGGCTGCTTTCCAAAGACAAAAGGGAGAAGCCAGTGTGGCATGGTGGTGAAGAGCATGGGACTGGGACTCAGGCGATCCGGGTTCGAGTCCCCACTCAGCCATGGAGCCAACGGGGTGACTCTGGGCCAGTCACAGACTCCCAACCCAACCTACTTCACAGGGTTGTTGTGGGGATAAGATGGAGGAGGAGAATGATGTAAGCTGCCTTGAGCCTTTGTAGGAAAAAGGCAGGA